GCGCCATGTCCCGCCCCGACCGCCGCCTGCGTCTTGGACAAGACGACGATGGCCTCATGGGTGATCTCGCGCCGGATAAAACATGATGGTCACTTCTGGCAAGCAGGTGTAACTGTACTCCTAGCCCCGATATGGTGCCCGCTCGTTAGTTCTACGCCTGGCTAGACCGTCACATCCAATGATGGTGCACACCGCATCCGGCAGGCAATGGTGCGGACGATGCAATTCGGACTTCGTGTGCATTCTGGTCAAATCAAGGTTTCCGGCGATACACTGTGAAACTGCGTTGTGATATGTGGATGGCGCCGAGGACTCAATTGTTACCCTACGCTATCACTCTGGCGTGCACGAATGTCGCAGGCTTATGTCTCGGCATCGCACCGTACACGTGCCTTCTCCAAATCGATTATAAGCAGTGGGTTGTCTTTCGAAACACGGGTATGCTACTCGTCTAGCTCTTCGTGAAGATGACTGAGGCTTTGCTCGGCGCTCCTTTTGATCTTGACCGAGCTTTGCAAGGCGTAAGCCTTCTCGAAGGCGGCGAGCCCGTCTCAGGCTTATCCGAAGATGGCGATGCTGAGCAAGATGCCCATTACAGAGTCTTTGTGGTGCGTATGGTCGTTTCTGACTACTTGTGGCACGTCTCATTGTGCATAGGCTTCTGCGTTTATCTACGCCTGCGTTGATGGCGACTCCGACAATTGGAGCAACTACTGTGTAGCTGCGGGTGCGGAGAAGAGCTCTATCAGTTCCGATGTCTCACAGGCGCCGCGAATATCCGTTTGCGAAAGCGACGAAGGACAGGAGCTTCTCGATGATGCCGTGTGCGAAGCCCTTCCTGGAGTATCTGATCTTCATTCCCGGCCCTCCGAGATGTTATCTGCCCCCGCGGACGTATGGCGATGCCCAGTCGAAGGATGCAGGGAGGTCATTCGCCCGTACAAGCTTACACAGCAACAACGGGAAGTCGTCGTGGTCCTGTCAGGTGATCCCGATGCCATGATTGTGCAAGTCAGCAACGGCAGGTTTCGTCTGCGTTGTAGCGATCCCTGGAAGCTACTTCGCTACATCGACGCTTTGGCGTGGGATCATATCTCTTGGCACCTTCATCGCGCGCACATCACCTTCTACTATCCACATCCCGATAAGCCGTACAAGGTGTGTACAGTGACAAAGACATCTGTCCATTATTGAGATCGTACGCAGGAATCTCCAGGGTGGTGGTGGAATGAGGCCTTGTTGGCACGCGACCAGTCACTTCTACGAGACGTAGCGGAACTCTCGGCTACGGCCCAGCAGGCCAGGCGTCAGTGGATGGTCACTAAGGCCCTGGACTTCGCTCGACGGAAGATACAGCGCGCATCCGCTCGGCTCACGCGCTGGCGTTACGACGCCTTGCAAGCAAGGAGAGAGCTTGTTTCAGACATGTTCAGTCTCAATCGCAGTATAGTTGAGGTCAGCCGCGCATTGTTGGCCTTGATACGTCAGCAAGAATCCGATCCTCGAACCAAATCGTTCTCAGCAGAGATCACACATTACCGGGCGGTGGAGATGGAATGGGCGGAGGAGCAATATATGTGGTTTTGAGTGTATCCAGACAGTTGCGATAGATGTTATAAATACGCATATCTCGACGGATGGCAGAGTCTCAAGGGGATCGGGAGGATTTGCTTGTCTACGACATGTAGAGCGACATTGAGAAGATATCAGAGTAACTTTACAGGTGATATTGAAGGGGACGGAAGGCGTAGCGCGGTGTATGGGCCCAATCCGGTATCGCGGTTATTTCTGGGCCTACATTCAGTATCCAGCTTTGTCGTCGACAGGGATGAAGTATCTATCGAGTACGCACCTGACATTGACTTATGCGCCGAGATCGTGCACACAAATGTCTCCCACTTCACCTCAACCGCTCGGTGCTCAGTGCGCTTGACTCCCGCTGAAAACTCGAAGGCGGGCGTGTTCGGATCGTCCCACCAAGGAGTAGGCAGCCCTTATCACTTTCCCCACCAGCAGCCCAGCCCTCCAAAATCTTCGGCTTATTGCGAGCGCACGCGGGAGAGTCGTAGTAGAGGATGTTAGTCAGACTAAGACGCGGTAGACGGAAGAGACGCTCGGTCAGCACCTGAGCGCGGGAAGCCAGAGTGATGTCATCGACCCGCATCTTATTCGGAGGCGCGAGCGCACAACTGGACGTCCTGCGTACCTTCCTCCGTACCTTGTTCCACTACCACGACTACTTGCTTTCTTGCTCGTGGACGGGGTATTATGTGGCCCAGGTATGTATGCTTGATGCGTCACGCACACGCTGGTGCAATCCTGAAGGTCGTGAATGGGACCCTAATTTTGGTGCGCAACTCGTTTCACCTATTGAGCCCGTCAGTTGCCTAACGTGCAACTACAGAGTCTCCACGCCTGCTCACCGCAGATGCGCATTGCTTTTCACAAGCTTTGTAAGATATATTCGCGTCTTAGTGGGTCCGGTCTCCGAAGAAGATGAATGAGGAATGCCAACTGTGTTCGATGTACACCCGTCGTGATTAGGTGTCCTAATTGACCCCTCGTGTACCGCAATGAGAGCCCGATATACTGCTATTATGACATGTGGCCCCAGCCGTAATAAAATACTATTTTTGAAACTTGTCGTGGCCCACCGCAACACCTCATTAGCGGCAGGTGTCGAGTATCGTGATCTTTTGGGACAGGACCTGACTTGTCGCGGCTATTCGTGCGCACTCGTGGGTCCTGCTCCCCGTCGGTGTGCCGATCTCACGCGTCGTCGGCCCGTCTAAGGATCCCTAGGCTCTGGCGCTGGTAGAGCCGGAGCAGGCCGCGAGTCTGTGACCTGACGTGTCCACCTGGCTTGAGAATGAATGCTGCTCGTGATATTGGCGAACCATACCGAATGAGGCTGAGTTCGTTTACTCCCTGCGAAAACACTGTCTAATCATTTGGTGAACCGGCCAGTAGTGGGCGGCCGGGTTTATCAAACCCGGTAACAACTATAAGGCCCGATTAGAAAATCGGCATGCCATCACCGGGCATCAATCGCCGGCGCGCCAGTGTTCGATCACGCGCGAGCTTGAGCGCTGAGTGCTAAGTCCACACCCTCGTGGGCGTGAAGTGCCGCATTGGGCCTAGAGTGAATACGTCCTAAACCCTATAGTACCTGTGTTAGTAGATATGATTAAAGGCGATCCCAATGCAACAGCTATCATGTTTAAGTACGCGTTCAAACGCGATCCCGAGCCAACACACCTTAATTGAGTATGTCGCGTTCAAACGCGATCCCGAGGCAACACGCCTTAATTGAGTATCGCCGCCAACACACCTTGATTGAGTATGTCGCGTTCAAACGCGATCCCGAGGCAACACGCCTTGATTGAGTATCGCCGCGTTCGAACGCGGTCCCGATGCATCATACCTTAATTAAGTATCGTCGCGTTGAACGCGATCCCGATGCATCACACCTCGATTAAGTATCGTCGCGTTTGAACGCGATCCCGATGCATCACACCTCGATTAAGTATCGTCGTGTTTGAGCGCGATCCCGATGCATCACACGTTAATTGAGTATCGTCGCGTTTGAACGCGACCCCGATGCAACACACGTACCTGAGTATCGTCGCGTTCAAACGCGATCCCGATCGAACACCGACCCTAAGTGGTCTCGCGTTTGATCACTGGCTCAAAATGAGCCTTGAACAGGAGGAGTCATAAGATATTAACTGCAAGATGATGATAGATACACAAGTACATAAGCAAACCCGCCACCTTCTTCTACGCACAGCATCCCATGAACGAGTTGAAAGAATCGCGCAGCCACGTGAACGGCAGGCACAGCATCTCGAATAGCGAACGCGCACTGGTTCGGTCGTTTTCGACCGCGTGCTCTGCATCGAGCTCTGGGTTGGCGGCGGGAGCGAGGTTGCTCATGGCGTGCGAGGAGGGCGTACGTTCATCTTGAGCGAGACCACGCGGATTATGCGGCGTGCATCCGGCGCGTGCCCTACGACCTGGCGCCGTACTCGTCGAAGCCTCGCGGATGGGCGTAGTCCGGTCGATGAAGTTGTGTAGCACTTTGTTTCGGCCTGTGGCGCACGTTAGCAAAAGGTAAAGTGAGTATTACTAATACTCACGAAGGCTTTGGGGAGTCGCGTGTCCAGGCACTGTGGCCCGAGGCTTGCGGGGTTTGGGTCCGGGCGGCTCGGCTTCAGAGGCATCTTCTTCGGGTGATTCGGCGTCCATAATCTAGCTGCGGCACTGCGCCGTACGGGATCAGACGTTGAGATCACGGAGGTAGATAATTACGCACGAAGGGTAGATGCGACTGAGGACAGTGGGGGCGAAAGATGCGAGAAGGGGCCGCCGGTGATGGTAAGAGGGGACTTGAGTGAGGGCACGCTGCCTCGTGAGACGAGTACGGCGCTTATCGTACACCGTGCGGACGTCGGGCTGCATGGCGAAGTCGGTGTTGTACATTCCTATACAAATTTCATGAGCTATCGCTGTAAAATCCGACGCTTACGATTGTTATAGTTGGGGCGGGTTCGTGCAAATAACTTGGTGTGGGGCTGGGCGAAGTTGCGAGACTTAGCGCTGTGCTGGCGGACAGAGAATTACGAGGGTCCTGAACCCGCGCAGACTACCAGCGAGCTCCTGGGCGCGTATGTCCAGGAGCCGCAAGGCGGTCGCGCGGGAGGGATGATGGGCGTCGAAGAAGAATTGCGAGTTGCGGGAGGAGGGGTAGTGGTGGCGGAAGGAGTCGTCGCGCCAAGCGCCGGAGTCCACGTCGCGTGAACTCCCACACCTTTCCTCCCACCGCCATCATCCCCACCACCATGTCCTCCACCACCGTCCCGACCCTCCCGTACGTGCCCCGAGTGGCACAGTACGCCGGCTGGAGAAGGCTACCCCTGCGCATGCGCGTGCAGGGGCAAGCTCTCCTGTCGGCGGACTCCACGCCACCGACAACCCCCTTAAGCGCCGGCGAGCGCTCCGATCGCGCCAGTGAGCGCCAGCACGCGCGCGCCCCCGCACCGCTTGTGTCCGTCCACCCGCGCCCGCTCGATGAGGAGGGGGAAGCTTACCTGCTCCTGAACTTACACCGCCGCCCTGGTGAGTTGCAACCGAAGGCCGAGGAGTCTCCCGGGCAGGTCAACATGAGGGAGGTGTACGACTTCATCTTCAACCTTTTTGGCCCCAGGTCTCTCCTCAGCAGCAGCAGCAGGTTCGTTACATATCTCTACGCTCTGCATGTATTCTAATACTGACTCGTCTATACCAGCCCTCGACGTCTGCTGCGCTCACTTCGACCGCGATGCCCAAGCCTTTGGATAAGGGCAAGGCGAAGGCTGCTCCGGAGCCTACCCGGGCTCCCGCCCACGACATCTTGAGGCAGCGTCTTGAGGAGCGCCTCGCTCGCGAGACGGAGCAGGAGATGCGGATACCGCTCGCGCCATTCTCAACAGTCTGCGCGGTCAGCACACAGAACCATCGGCCACGTCTTCCCAGGTTCGCATAGATCTGCTTTCTTCGTTTGAATCAGATGCTGACGACACCTTGAAGGTCAAGATCGAGAATGCTCCCGCTTCTGCCTCGACTTCTTCTGCAGACCTCAAGCGCGTCCCCGAGCTCTCCGGTAACGCCGCTCAGGACGTCAAGGCTCAGTACGCTGCACGCCGCCGGTCTACATCTGCTCTCGCCGCACCTGCCACACCTCTCGAGCGCATCCAGTCCATCATGTCTTCCCTGACCTCGCTCCGCACATCATTTCACTTCCCCGCTACGCCCGACTACAACGACACGACGGGCACACTCCTACTCTTCCGCCAACACGCCGCTTCGCGCATATGAGCATGCTCTGAACGATCTTCTGGAGCGGCTTGACGGAATTGAGAGCGAAGGCGACGAGGCAGTTCGTGGACGTAGGCGCGAGGTTGTGAAGGAAGTTGAGCGCGCGCTGGAGGAGTTCGACGAGCAAGTCCGCGCGGCGTCGCCTGTTCGCGGTTCACCGGCTTCTCAGCCGCAGGAACTCGAACCCGAGAAGGAGGAGAAAGTGAAGGAGGTTGAGGACAAGGTGGAGACGCGGAAGAACGAAGAGGGGAAGGAAGAGACAACGACTGTGCTGGGGAATATCGAGGCGGAAGCGCAGGAGGTGCCCATCATTGCCGTCAAGACGCCCGCTGAGACGCCGGCGCCTTCCCCGGCCGCGGAAGCCGTCAACCTATCGGTTCCCGAATCCTCACTGACGCTGTCGACCCCGCGCATCCTACTACGGACGCCGAGGCTTCTACCGAGACCCCAGCCAGACACAGTCCCGACTTCGGCAGCCGATGACGCCGCCATACCCGCGGAGGAGCCGGCTTCAATCGAAACAGCGGCGCCTGCACCGGTCGTTCTACCGGAAGAACCTTTGACTGTCGAGGCGCAGCCTGTTGCCGTGGAGGAGTCTACCTAGCAGCCTGAGTCTATCGAACCCTTCGCCGCCGCCGCTGAGGGGCAACGAACGGTAGAAGGGGGTGGTTTCTGTACCAAGCGACGCGTGGGAATTGATGGGCGCCCACAGCCGCGCAACGCGCCGCGCGCGCAAGCGAGACGCGTCGCGCTCTCCGATACCACCACCACCACCACGACTCACCACCTCTCCCTCCCATCCAGCGCAACACAAAAGTGACCCTAGGCATACGCGTTTAGGGTCAACTCTGTGTTCGCTCGATCTCGGACAACCATGGCCACGCGATCCCAGCCGAAACCACCGCCACCCCTCCCACGTCCCGCCCGCAAGTCCCAGGCGGGAAACGTGCCCGCTCCGACGCCTGCCCCATTGCCGTTGGCTGGCAAGAAACGGCCGCTCCCGAAATTCAAAAAGAAAAAGCAAGAAAAACCCACAATCGTGACTCGCACCGCACCTGAGGATGTCGACGTCGCCGTCGAGTGGCCTGGGGGTATGGTTTTGCTTGGCGTTGGCACGTCGTACCGCCCTCCCGCCCCTGAAAAGGGCCTCACGTATGCTGAGGGATTCGGTGGCGATGGTCTCTGGCGCTGGCACGAATTTACGCGGCACCCCGAGCTCCTCGACCACACCGCGCCCTTCATGGCCTGGGCTCATATTCCGACGCAGGACCAGAGGGACCAGTCGATACTCTACCGCCGCGCGTCTAGGCAAGACTGCGCGCGGCTTCCGGACGAAGCTGCGGAGGGGAAGGAGATGTTTGAAGGGAGGAAAAAGCTAGGGAAGAAGGGCATGGGCACGGTGAACGGGATGTACAGGCTCACCGACGAGTTGTACAAGGACATGAAGGCGCGACATACTACCCTCCGCCAGCATTGCGACTTCGCGACGCGCCTCCTGAAGCGGGCATCGAAAGAGTGCATGGACGGCGTCAGCCCCCACAGCGTCATCCGCGTCATCCTGGCGAATGTGCGCGAGCCCGTCCGCGAGTATCTTGACGTCGTCCACGCCTGCGAACACCTCCGGTACGGCCGCATCTCCGCCTTCCAGGAGTTCGATGTCTGTTTCTCGGCGTTTCAGCGCGCCCACAACGTCATGCTCGCCTACTTCGATTTCGCCTGCTCGATCCTTCCCCCGTCTATCGCGCCTGGTCTCGCGGAACTCCCCAAGCTGACGTCGAGCGAACATCGCCGCGGAGTCGTGCTGGCCGGGGAAGATATCAAGACGTACATCCGGTTTTTCAAGGCCCATCGCATCCCGGTCTGGGTGTATGCCGCGATGAACACGATCTTCATCCCCGCC